TTGTTTGGTTTTTTTTTTAATGAATAATTGCTTTACACAAATCCTGACTTTAACAAAAAACAATGCTGTTACTAGAAGCATCTTCATCCACATAAGCTTTCTAACCTACTGAAAATACTTCAGTTTTCAATTATATTGAAACCTAAGTAAAACCAACACAATGAAAACGTTGAAAAGTTAAAATACAGCATTTCCCTGTCATAACAGCTGTCCTCAATCTATTCTTTATTTTGACAACAGAGTTAGTTGTTAGCCTGTGTCATTTATTCAAGTTAGACTAACCATTCCAAATCTGTCAGAAGTTCTTATAAACCTTTCTATACAAGACAAAGACACAGCACTTTCTTGCAAACCAAAGCCATTTACTACGTCAAAGTTGATTTACTCATTAACATAAGTAAGTCCCTACAGGTAGGAAAAAAAAAAAAGAGTGCCAAATTTCTACTTTTAACTTCTCAAAATTTCTCTAAGCCTACCAAATTAGAATCTGCTAAATGATAGTACACAGGACAAGTGAGATATGTAACAGTCTCAAGATCCTACTAAGTTACATAGTTTCAGCTTCCTTTTAAATGCAAAATACTACAGACCTGCTGGCTAACAAGCTAACTTTTTTTTTATTCTGTTTCAGTAACCAGGCAACAGACAACTGTCCAACTGAGAATTATCTCTCTGAACAGCTGGCAATCAACACTTGGGAGTTTTTGGTGGTTGGTCTCTTTTTTTTTAAAAAAAAACTAGTACAAAGATCAGTCATTACTTTAAAAATCTATACAGCTCGAGATTCCACCTCTGAAATCTCTACTCACTATTTAGTAATTTCCACAGTCCTGTTATCCCTAAAGTCATTCATGTAAGTGTCTACATCAGAATCTAAAAATCTTAGATATACACTAATGTATGGTATATCTAATTAGCTAATGTCAACACTTCAAGAAAAAAAGTAGGCTCAAGAAAAAAATTTAAATGTATTTATGGATGTTTGACAGAGCCCTTCAAGGAATCAGCAAAACAGACAGCTAATAACTAAACCCATTCTTGCTTCTAACTCCACTACTCTTTTCCATAGCTGAAAAGCAGTATTTCACGTCAACATTATTTCAAGTGTTGATTTTTAAAACATTTCTTTCCTTACTAGATTTTGTTATTTTTAAGAGTTGCAAATCAACATCATAAACTCTATTTCTATAAAGGAAATAAAAATGGAGAGCCAAGCTTGATATATTACACCTTTCTCCTTCCTCGCAATTTATAGGAGTAATGATGCTATAAGATTATTAATTATAAATTCCTGTAACTTTAAGTGTTACTTATACATTCAATGTTTTTGAAAGGTCTTTAAGAGTCAGAATAAGTGTTTTCAGAAGGGCACTGACAAAGATTAGCTAGACTATATCCCATAACACATGAACGATTCAAAGAAATCTGATATTTAAACAGAAAAGATCTAAAACCAGAATTCCCTTGGTAAAAGCACAAAACAGCCACACAATACTTCATACACTGTCTGCATGAGATGGGAGAGCAAACTCCCACCTTTTATAGTGTCCAAACATCGATATAATTACTGACTAGAAATCTGCTATAAGAACAACACACCTAATGTTGCTAAAACCAGTAAAACCTTACCCCCTATTTAATTATGCTTTTATTGATCTCTGCTCTTGATATGATCTAATTTAAGAACACCTATGACATCATATTCCAATAAATTGAAAAACACTGACCAAGTTCAAATTTACTCAAGCACCAAGTTCAGATCAGGCAAGATCCTGTTGCAAGATAAACAACATGATGTGATGTAACATAATTTTGTGCATGTGTGTGCATTTGTGAGAGACCGGGGCGGGAACGCAGAGAGGGAGGGAGAGGGAGAGTCTGTGCACGAGAGAGAAAGAGAGAGAGTGTACGGCAGCGGTCACAAGGGAGAAATATACATGGCCTGAGTGGCTTTGAGTCCCGTGCTCACTAAAATGCACAATGAGAAACACATTAAGCAATGACAGCTTCAGACAACAGAAACAATCTTTCTTCTATTACTCAAAAAAATCACACATTATAATAGCTTCACAGAATAGCCAATTTCTTTATCAAGTTGGCTAAATCTGTATTTAATTTTTGAACCAAAACTACTAGTCAATGCACACTGTATTTTCTATGCAGAAGGACCAGCACCATTAAGTTTAAAAGTAGGGCATATTTTGCCATTTTAATTTTATTTCTGCTAGTCTTGAGGGACATGCCTGAACAGAAAAGAATCAGAATATCCAAAGTCAAATTGCAGGAGTCCAGACAACAAGAAAAAGTCAGCGGGTAACCTGAAAAGAGAACAATAAATTGCGTACTCAAAAATAAAACTGTAGTGGACAGTAATATATTTGTATACTGCTTCCTATCTTGTAAACTAAAATGTTCAATGCAAAGCTGTTTTTTCCTTCAATTTCTTCTAATTAGAGCTGCCATATAATTCTTCAGTAATTATGTCACCTTTTGACGCACAAAAATAATTCCAACAGAAATCAGTCTGCATACTGAAGTCCTATATCACAGAGGGAAAAGAAAAAAACACTATTAGATCATAGGAACTACTCGTAACTTCTGTATTACAAGCACCTTCCTCCTTTCCAAACAGGAACTTACTCACTTTTCTAAAACTTTTCAGAAATACAGAAAACTTTCATAGAAGCTTCAATGACAGAACATTCCACAGCGAAACATACATTAAACATATTTGTAGTCACAAGCATCAGAGGTAAGGACATCTATTAGGAAAACAGTAATTGTTTAAAAAACTTCATAAGAAAAATAAATCATAACCATCTCAGCTCTTTCACAAGGTTTGTATTCCCTAATGTTATATGAGCAAGAGAGTCTGGAAGAAACCCAAAAGCCATCAGCTCAAGGAATGACAGGACCTCTGAATATTCCATGGGCCGGTGGTCAGACGCAAACAGAAATACTAACAAGAGCTAGCCACGCTGGAATCCATTTCCCATCCCTGCTCCATGCTTTAGCAGGTATCAGTCACCAACTTCCTGAAAACCCTCACTTTCCATACAATACAATGGCGCTGCAAATTCAAGCAGACTGTATAAAGTCAAACTGGAACTTCATTTGCACCTGTTACTGAGAAAATGTTTGAGTGTCCCTGCTGCAGTTATTTTTATTATTGCTGCTGACTTTAACAGAGAATATGTTTATGTCACACGTCTTTCTTATGTCGTTCTAGCTTGCGATTTTTTTATTTTTCAAAGGTTCTTCTGCTACTACTGCTGCATCTTTACAGTTTCCTACACACACAAAAAAAAAATTCTGATTTAATCAGAACATAGAGGAACTATACTGGAGCACTGAACAAAAGATCTAATCTTTGGAGCGTCCTTTCCGAGTGAGTGTAAATAAACTGTAGTAAAATGAAAAGGCTCATAATTTGGTATTTGGAATATTCTTCATAAACACCAATTTTCTGTAACATCCTTGCATATCTGATAACCCCTCATGTATAATGCAGAAAATCTATTCCATTTTCATCTATTGACAGTGAATTTAATTTACTATTGCAGCTCTTTATCCAGATTATGTTATTAATTCTGCAATCAGGCTCTTTAGAATGCTTTATTTCTTCCAAGAGTTTTCACAATTCTACATTGATTTTTTCTATCCTAACATACCTTTCAAAATAAAGGATCATGTTTTTCCTACCTTTCTAAAACAAGTAAAAAAAAAAGCTTCAAAAGCAACAAACACCAGTTCATAAGCTGTAACTTTCAAGAGAAAAAAAAAAATCTACATTCAAAACTTCAATCTCTGACTTTTAAGTACTATATATTCATTAAGGAGATGTACAACAGGTGCATTAGAATTTCCACTTCAACAATCATATTTGTAAACAGACCAAAATATCTCTGTTAATAAAAAGTTATTCCACTTCTGCCTGACTGTAAAGTCAGAGGACAGGAAAGCTAAATTCTCCCAACGTTAGTGCTCTGTTTACATCAATACCAACTGTCTTTTCTATTTTGTAGAATTCAGTCTTGTTAAAACAGAGCAAATGCAAAGCAGCTCTTACTTTCCAAAAGAAACAAGTCAGCAACAGCTAGTCAATTCAATTCTAAACCACCAGCTACTCTTCAAAAATAACAAAATCAAAACACAAAAGTGTCAGCTATCCTATTTTGCATCAGTTTTTAGAAAGCCCTCTAGAGCAAAGTTCAATTACAGAACGCTAATTTGCTCATCTTTCGGAAAAATACCCCAATTATTCAACTGCAGAAGCTAAAATCTTGTCTATCATTATATAAGACTCCCTCTTCAGAAATCTTATAAAGGAGGAATGCTAATTCAGGTATTTATTACTATTATACTCAAATATTAAAATCTTCATGTGCACTAATACAGCTAATATAAAATGCAATTCTTTTTATTCATCCAAAGTATTTCAGTTTTATAATAGAGTTTTCTTCCAGCATCATGATAAACACAATATAAAGAATATCTAAAGACCAGCACTTGTCCTCTTTACTTCACTCCAGAGCCAATGAACAAAGCAGTGAAGCAGAAAGAAGGTACATAATGGATTTAAAGTAAATGGCCCATTCTTTACGAGGCAGTCTCTCATTTTTACTCATTCTTGCTTAATTGTCATTATAATGTCTGGAAACTTCAAACGAACAATTATCTTTACGCCACCTGTCACATCGGTTCCTTAAAGCTAGATTTTTTTTTAAATAAAAAATAAAGCAGTCAATGTTAATGAAAATAATCTTTTGAAGAAATACCATTAATTACTTTAAACTTATTTCACGCAGTTAGCATCCAGTTCAGTCCATTCCATATGCCAAAAACAGACAGAATATTTATATTCACAACTGCACTTTGAAACATACTTTTGTGAGACATAATGCTTCCTGCTGCACTTGACCAATATATGAAACACACTGAAATGTACATACATGCCTGAGAACTTCAAAATAAAAGAATTGGCTAATTTTTGCACCTACCTGGATAAAAATCTTTGGATTTAGACAGCTTGATGGTGGCCCCAGTCTCTTTCTGCAACTGAACAATTGTCTGTCCTCCCTTCCCAATTATAGATCCAGCAGCATAACTAGGTATGAGGACCTTTAGAAAATACTGGCCATCCTCTGAAAAATTGAGATATGCATGGTTAATATGGATTATAAATTGTCATTTTTCCTCCCCAGACCCACAAATAAACAAAAGGTTACATCTTTAAACTCCTCCACTAATTCATGCATTTACATCTAACCAGTTGCGTCATTATACAAGACATGTTTAGGCTATGCCTTTGACAGTTTAAAATATCTACATTTATTCTAAGCAAAGAACCCACCGAGGTTCCTCAATTCAGTTAAAGAATAATATTGCAATTATATTTCAAAGGTAGATTTTCTTTTTTTTTTTTCTGCAATGGCAACCACAGCATACAGAAATGATCAGACCCCTTTAAAAGAACTAAAGCCCTGCATGAAAACGTGGTTAGTGACAACTACAACCTTGCTTGGAAATACTGCAAAAGAAATGACAAAACCAGGAAAGAACAAATTGTAAATTAGAATGGGCTATTTGTTTGTCATTAGCAAACACATGAGAACAGCAATTAGCTATTGCTTGCATTCTTCTTAAGTGAGCAAAACGACTACTCTGCTACCAAATAACCCACCCAAAATGTGGGGTTTTATTCCAAGCATTTCAGCCACTGCCAAGAAAACAACTCAACATGGTGAGGATGGAATCACTTGTCTAAGTAATCCTCATGTATTCCTTTAGCACTTCTTAAGCGACAATGATCTCTTTTAAGCTCATTAATTAAAGGACACTAAGAAGAATTTTTCCCAATTGATCAAAAGCCTAAGTCACTTATTTTAAATACACTTAAAAGGTGACGAGATAGACAATGCCAGTCCTCTACCCACAACTAGCACTAAAGCACACCATTGAAACAGGAAAAAATATATAGAATGAATGGAGGGGAGTAAGAAAAAAAGATTCGAGTCTGATTTGGCAACTGCAAAAATTTTCAGTACCCTCGTGCCACCACTAAATCCAGCTACACTGAAGTCTGAGGACCTCTCCATAACTGTCTCTGAAGAAGTGCAAGGCAACAGGGATACGCTGGTTCCCCAGACTTGTGTTCTCCCCAGCAATTATAGCAATGTCCCATTGGCACGGATATCAAAATATCATGAAACATGTTTCATAAAGTTGGTCCTTTGGGGTTATTTTTACCCCCAAGCAGAAGAAATTATCTAAGTTCACAATACTTCTCTTCCCTGAGACTATAAAGCGCCTCAGTTAGCGCCTGTGTGTGACAGAGGTGCCCACCCGTATTACCATAGCCGGGGAACCATGCACTATGTATAGCCAGACCACTGCTCTCAACATTGGGCAAATAAATTCACCTCTGCCTCGGTGCATTGTTATGACGACTCCAGTGCAAACGGATAAAGGAGATGCTGGTCCCGTTATAACTCATCTCCTCCAGGAATAGCAGGATGTTAACTAGCGAGTCCCCGTAGCCGAGGGGCGACTCCCCCCGCCACCAGCCAGCCCTCGCCCCCGGCTCGGCACGGCAAACACACGCCGTGTACGCGCTGACAATGGAAGTGAGGCCAAGGAGGAGGAAAACGCACGGCAAGGCTGAAATTCAACTTGCGACCCCGAGGATGTGGAAGGAGGGAAGAGCCTTTGCCGTCTCCTTCCAGCTGCCATTTATTGTCGCCCATCCTTAAACGGGCGAGGGAGATCGCTGGGCTGCGGGAGCCCCTTGTGCTCCCTCCTCGCCTCCGTAGGGTCACGGCTGTGCAGCCCCAGCGTGGATATTAAATAAAAAGACTGGTAGATGCTGAAAACCGACGCCATTTTGATGAATGATAACATTAGAGAAATGGGAATCTTTGGGCGGGGGGGGTGGG